AAATTTTACAACATTACTTCCCGTGGCCGGTAGGAAACCATATTCAACCGTCAAAGGAAACATTATCATGGTTCAATTAACTAAAAGATGTAATGGAACATCTCTTCACATCCAAAAAAGAATGAAGGTTCCGATATATGCCTACACTTTAAGAGGGATCGCAACAACTCTTTTTTCTATTCTCAGTTACCAAAATAATAATAATAATAATAATAAAAGGCAAGAGAAGCCATTCACCCAATGAGAGATTAACACAAGAAGCTTTGTCCAGCCATCCTATTCCTGTAACATAAGAGACTGCAAAAAAAGATTAAAAAGCAAAAAAAAAAAAGAAAAAAGAAAAAGCAGCATTACTTTAACTCCATTTATCAACAAAGCCACCAAGCTAAAATAATTTTTTCAAAGAAAAACTGATCAAGCAGATATTTGTCCCCCTCAAACAAATAATAATAAAGTTATCCAGTATTCTGTCCCCCAAAAAATGTAACATGCAACGTTCACATGGTATCAACTTCACAATTCATTGCACAAATTCACCTATATACCTGCACTAAAAAAACTCCTGTTTTTATCTTAATTTCATATTGAGTCGGGGATTTTGTGTCCTTATGCGGTTGGGGAAGGGCTTTAATTAATGCCATAAAGCATGTCACTTATCTGTCCAAAATCATCCATGGTACTACAGCAACTAACAAGTGAAATTGTGATTTATTTACCCAAAAAAAGAGGTAATTTTTTTTTAACAAAATATCTTTGAAATTGGATAAACATGAGGGTAGAATTGTCGTTTTGTGTTTAAATTATAATGATAAAAAGGTTTAGGCCTTGTTTTTAAGTTTATATATATGTGCTAATGAAAAGAAATACTCCCCTAAATAGTCCCCTTGAAACAAGCATACATCCATTCGTTAGGCATAGTCATTGCGGGCAATCAAAAGAAATTTCCACTAAATAGTCCCCTTGGAAAAGTTGTCATTGCGTGCAACTCATGTCTCATGGTGTTAACCGAAATTTCCACTAAATAGTACCCTTGGAAAAGTTGTCATTATGTGCAACTCATGTCTCATGGTGTTAACCGTGAGTGGGTAACGACCACCTTGGCCGCAAAAGAAAAGATATGTGTGACGATTAATTTTGACCGTTCTGTGACAGAGTGTTCGGGTCGGGCCAAGCCCTTGGTGGACACAAGAGATCTCACATGCTTCCATCAAACCCAGCAACTGCAACTGCAACTGCAACTTCAACCCAGCCGGAAAAGTCTCTGATCGATCTAAATTTACCAGCTTCGATGGAAGATGACGAGTTCAGCGTGGTTTTTGACGCATAAATGAAACATTCCCACCAAGCATTTATGAAATTCACATGGATCTGGAGCTGGGTTTTTGATTTTTCAACTGAATTCTACTGTAGACCGCTAAAAGTTTCATCATTTTGTAGATTGAATTAAACTGCGTTTCACTGCAACTGACTTTAATAGTTCATTGCCTGGATTGAAGAATTCTCTTTTTTTCTGGGAACTGTTTTCCAATCTCTATTTTGGAAGATGAAGATTGTAACTTGTTTCATGTGTACACCATGTTAGAGGAAAAAGCATTTTCTGAGTGGTTTATTTTTCCCTAATTGTGGACCATGCAGCACTGAAGTCTGCAAGTATCAAAGTGGTTCAATTCTGTTTATGTGTCCTTTCTTCTTTGGAAGCTCCTATTTATTAGAAAAAAAACCTACTATTATTATTTCCCATTTCTCATCATGGGTTTGTTGGGTGAGAGCATTGTTTTAGCTTGAAGGATGGGTGAACTAGAAAAGGATTTAACTAGAAGTCTAAAATAACATGAATGAGACTTGAATTTATGCTATTTTATCTTTAAAGATACAAGATTGTACTATTCAAAACCGATTTGGGGCAAAAGGAAGTGTGGCATATAATCATTCCCTATGGAAGAATCGATCCCAATAATTAAGTTTTAGATGAGGTTTTAATCAATCTTCTTAGATTGTTATGCTTTTCAGCATCTTTGATTGATGGAATGGGTTCCGACTTTTCGTGGAACTGAATTATCATCGGCCAATTGAGTGGTTAGCTTAAGTTTGAATACAATGAATCTATATTAATTGATGATAATGAGGGAAATAATTACGGAGGAAATGATTTTTATATAATTTTTTTATTTTATTTTTTTATACAATCTGATGTATAATTTAAATGATTAGTTTTTTTTAATTGATGTGAGATTAGTGATGTTGAATGCATCCACTTATTTAATGACATATGAAAGTTATATAAAAATGTGGTATAAAAAAGTTGTTCTTATAGCATTATGTTAATTCATACACTATTATATTTAATGAAAATTAATTTTAGATTAGAAAATATTGTTTTTTAAATGAAAGAGGATACTTTGATATAAGAGATTTTTTTTCTATTTAAATGTCTTTATATTACAATTCAAAACAATTTTAATTTTAAATTATCAATAGGTGATGTTATATGAATAATTTTTTTATATTATTTTTTATATAATTTTAATATGTCATTAAATAATGTCATTATGTGTATGGAATGGATG